TTTAAATTCTATTTTTATTTCAACCTTGTCAGGGGAGTCCTTACACACTCCAAAAATGTAAAGCCATTCTCCTCTAACTATTAAGTGCAAACAATTTTTTTCCATGTAAAAAACTAGGATTGCAGTATCCAGCGTTGAGACAGGAGGCAATAATGCGCTGTTTCCTCAAGTGCTTCCAAAACTGTCCAAAAAATTATATCGCTCATTCTCCACTGTTATGATTTCAAAATGGGGAAAAAGAAAAAAAGAATCTGTGCAAAATACACTTTTTAGTGTGATACCTGTGACTGAAATATTTGTAAAGGAAGTAAAAAAGTTTCAGTCTCTCTTGAGCAGGTTTTTAAAGGAATGTGGCTGCACAAGGGATCACCCAGGAGGTTAGAGAATGAAAGAGACTTGGCGTTGAGGATATAATAAGCTGCTGCTCTAAAAGCAATCCCTCCTCATATTCCCTTTATCTGTGAATACATCTGAAGAAACAAGTATGACCAAATTAAACCCACGCGAAAGGTAAGGTTGAGGCATTACCACGATGCTTACGCTGTCTTTAGTCTTTACAGAACTACAGGCACAAAGGATCGGGTACGAGAGTTTGTTATTTTCAGATTAGATGTGACTTGATATGACCATGGATGTAACAGTGAGCCAGTGAGCCCCTTTCATGAACCTCCTGGATGATTTAAAGCTCGCCCTCCTGCTTCCAATAACACCCTTTTCACCCCCCACACAAAAGGAGGTCAAGTTTCTAACCCTGGCTCGGTCAACGTCGGTTTATCTGAACACAAGCAGTAACATAAAAGAGAGCATCTGGGTGGTTTAAGGATGAGAATGAGGGTGACACTGGAGGTCATGTGGTGTGTGACAGTGTGTGAAGAAGCGCTGCAGGGGCCGTGGCCTTGGTCATCCCCGTCTCTGCTGCATGGAGCTGTCATTAGCAGCACCAGCACTGGGGCTATACTACTGTTCCACTGGGGGAGTTGGCTGGGTTGTTTTGAGATGATTGCAATCCCTGTGGAGAGACAGATAACACACAATGATAACAAACAACAGCGTAATGTGAATGTTATACAAGCGGCAGAATTGTGAGGCCATGAGGTTTACTGTCGGAAGAGGATGTGCGATCGTAACAATGCAGAGGGTTTTAGTGTAAATCTGAAATAACCGAGATCGAAACACAGTGGCATTAACAGCTTCTGCCTGCTGCGAGAAAATTCCTGTACTAGAAGCAATGTGAGTTGAGAGGTGTCACATGACAGTGTCCTCGAGAGGCCTGTCACTCACCACTTTCCCAGGCCTAGCCCATGTGCAAACGAAACCCTCCTGACAGGCTGTTACCAGACAGTCCTCAAGGAAGATTAACACAGTGAGTCTCTCGTGAGCGATCTTCTTGCACACCAGCGGCTCGAGCAGTGGCACCTCATCCATGCGCGGGCACAGCGTCGTGCCCAGAGTCTTAGCCGCGTCGGCCTTTGCCGTCCGCGTCGAGCTGAGCTGGTTGAGCTTGTCGCTGCTCTTGCTGCTGATGTGACCCATGCTGTGGTTTCGTTTGTGGTCCTTCTCGTGGCGCTCCTTGCGCGAATCGTGCAGCGACAGTGTTGCAAACTTGCTGACTCCAGTGGCGATAAAAGCACTGTCGATGATACTGTTGCCCTTGGTGGATGTGGTGGTGGTGCTGCTGCTGTTGCTGCTGCCTGTGTGACTGTTGGGGGTGCTGCCCCCTGCCGGGTTGGAGGAGTGTGGCAAGCTATTGGACCGAGGCAGGGTGTTGGGGAGGGAGTTTGGTGTGTTACCACTGGAGCTGCTATTGCTCACATTGTCTTTACCATTGGTTCCACTGGGATTAGTAGTGGTGGTGGTGGTGGTGGCGGTGGTTGCGGTGGTTGCGGCGGTTGTGGTGGTGGTGGTCGTGGTAGATACAGTAGTAGTACTAGTTTGTCCAGTGGCTGGAGGGCTTGTGGCACTCATAACATTAGTGTGAGTCCTTGTGCGAGACAAAGGAAGGTGAGGGAAGAGAATGTCCTCTGTAAGGTCCCACAGACACAGCTGAGTATCCTGCCCCACTGAGCCAAACCTGTAGGTCACACTAACAGGCCTACTGTCTGTAGAGTTTCTCTTAGAAAGCCGAGAGTGAGCGCTGTTCGCTCTGTCTCTGCCTGCACCAAAGTGAATCTGCTCATGGAAGTCCTCGTCACTTCCGCTGAACTCAGCGGGGGGGTCACCGTCTTCCACGCTGGTGGTACAGTGGTCAAATGCCACCACACTCACCCACGACTTGTGACCGTGCCCCCGTGCGATCACTCTACAGTCTGAAAACGACCACACCGTCACCAGGTCATCCTCCCCTCCCGCCACAATGTATCGTCCATCTGGGCTCCAGCACACACACAGTAAGCCACCGAAGTAGCTCTTCATTGTCCCATGGAGCTCTGCGGCGTCAAAGCCAAATACCCGCAGGAAGCCATCCTGGCTCGCACAAGCCAGAAACTTGCCATCCGGGGAGAAGGCGAACTCATTGAGCGCACCTTCACCCACTGTCCAGCGGAGTAACGGATTTCGAGCCGACTTGCTCTTGCAGGTATGCACAGCATAGTTTTCACCCTGCTTGAGGAGCTGGTAGTGAGGTGCCGTCGTGCCACAGGTGTTCTCCACGTTGTACAAGTACATGCTGCCACTGGAGTGAGCCACCAGGAACAGACTCTCTGAACCAGGAACCCATCGTACACATGTTACTCTCGACTTGTCTATAAGTCTCTGGGGGAAGAGGGACAAACGAAGACAAAAGAACAAAACAGGTCAGCCAGGTATTTCATCAATGAAAGGTAACATTTGTATAGGTTCTCTAAAAATGCTGACTAAAACCCACCTCTTCATTGAAGAGTTTGCTGGTTTCCTTCTTTATTGGGTCTATGAGCTGCACCTGACCAGCGGAGAAGCCCACCAGCAGGGAGACGCTCTCTGCTGTAGCTGTGAGTGGGTTGAAATCATGACACGTGGGCTGCGTTCCTTTATATATCCTCTTGTCAATGGGCTTACTAAGATCGGCAGCCTAGAATGACAAAAAAGCACACAGATGAGAACATTTAAAAATATGAATTTTTGATTTGCTACAGTAGCTGTTTGATACTGCTGAGAATAGAAAAAAAAAACACGAAGGTTTGACCGAGATAGACAGGATACAGTTTACTACTATTGAATCTAATTCTGGTCGCAATTCCTCCTCCAAAGAGGCCACTACTACTTTACTCCACAAGTAATCACTGTTTATCTTACAGCTTTTCTTCAAACACTTCTTATACAGCAGTATTGACACTCACTCTATTTATTCTTAAGCCGCTTTCAGGTATCCTGAAAATGTCTAAAGGAGCTGTATGTGAAAATGCAAATGCCTGAGTGAGTTGCTCTGGAACTTTTGCTACCAGCCCCCAAGTAAAATGTCAAGATAATGTACGAGTGAGAATAAAGCAGGAAAAACTTCAAGAATAAAATTTCTCAGGATATATATCACGATATAAATCAAATCAGCCCCACTGCACTGAGGCGCATTGCTCTGCTCTTGCTCCTCTGATGTTTTCTCATCACTCACAATTAGAACAGATCTTTTTAGAAACCTGCTGAATTCATATTTAGGTTGCTGGATGAACAGGGTGTTTTTTCTCCTGCAATGAAGTTAAAACACCTTGTTACATCATGATCTGCACGAGGAAACTTCTCTTCTGTCTGCAGGAGTGTGTGTGTGTGTGTCTGTGCCTGTGTCTGCTGATCTCTGTTCCTCTCCACACAAGAACTGATAATCAAATTTATTAAGTTATTACCAATGGTGATGGATCATGACTGACGGATCATTCTTTCACTTTAACCCTGATGTCCTGACTGTGTGCGTCACGTTATGCCTTGTGTTGTGTAGCAAGTTTAAACGTGTGTCTCATAAATTCCAGAGCGAATCAAACAAACACAAAGTAAATGTCAGTCCCGTATGTGTTCTAATAACTTGTGATCAGTGCTGGTGTTTATAGTTAAAGTATAAAGTAAATGCAGGTCGGAGGAGTAGTGAGGAGGAAGCTCCGACATGAGACTCTAACACAGGATGACCAGACCTTTAATGAGTGTCTGTCCTCCTGAAGCAGCAGTGGTTATAAACACTCAGTGGTGGAAAACCCACTAAAATAATGAACGTGGCGGAAAACATGAATTGATTATGTTGAGTAACTGCTAAAGGAATATAGCAGGATATTATCCTTGCAAGCATGTGCAATAACAATATTTAAACAGTACTGCTAACTTGGAATATATGCAATGCAAATTTGATTCTTGCTTTTTACTGCTGCAATTCTCTTGTGGTCTATTATTGGAACATTAAAGAAAAGCTTGTCAGTGCTCTCAGCGTGAGACTAAATAAAATAAGGAACCTGGGCAGATTTCAAACAGGCGTGCAAGAAATATGCTAATTCACCTGAACAGCTATTAATGGGTTTTTTTGTTTTAGAAAATTAATTCAGGAAGAGCTAACTTATTATTTGACCACAAGTGTAATTCAAGACAATGATATTTTTACTTTGAAATATCTCAAGAAAGCTGCACAGCACAGATAAATGTATGGAAAACCTGCATGAGGGGGATATAAATTGAAAACTACTTTGTCCCATATTTCATTACACTTTCATTCCCCACAGTTAGTCAATTAATTGAGTGATTATTTCACCATATCCACAGTTCAACCCCTTGGCAGAAGTTAATTTGGAAACTAATAGGCTGCTATTTCATTTTAACTCACTCTTTTTGTAATGTCTGGGATTCAAACCAGTGATTCTAGGGAGTAGCTGTGTAATTAACACATAGAACACTAATTGATCCTCATGGCCAAACCAGCGTTATGTGTGTGTGAAAGGGTGAATAATAATAATAAGAAGAAGAAGATTGACAAAAAGAATTGTAAGTAAGTTTTTTGTCCATGCAGTTTATACTGCCTACTTCAAAACTACTTGTGCTTGAAAGGTTTCCATTTTAAGGCAGTTCAAAGTGTATACCACATTTTATATACAGAAACAATAACTTACTGTTTTGCTAAATTACACTGTCCTGTAAGATCTTAAAAAGATAATCTTTTAAAACAACATTAAAATCACACCCTGGTACTTCTCAGCATTCAAAACAACACTGGACTAATTTGTATTATGCTTTTAAAAGCAGATGTTTACTATATTTGTAATGTGTCAAATGATTTCTCGGGCTGGTTTGACACCAGGTCTACAAAAGGAGGACTGTGAAATAATTGCCAGTTGCTCTGATCGTTTATACAATTCAATATGATTGTATCTCACAGGATTCAGGCTTCGGGGATGACCACAACATCATCACCGCTGTCAATGCGCTGCCACTGCAATGGCATCACCGCTGTGTACAAACCCCAAAGTGGATCCCATTGCATTACAATCAACCCCTGACAGTGGACTGCACTCATCGTTACATCACACATGTCTTCCAGTGTGAACTCTCAGCTCTGTGAGGGGGAGCACTGAAGCTGCCACTGCTGCTGAGCACTGTTGACAACTTGTGCAGATGTTGACCATGGAAAGAAGGAGGGTAAACAAACGCATCATCTACGACATGACACGACGAACATTTCCCCACGTCACTCGGTTCATTCATGTCACAGATTGTCACAGACTGACAACTCAAAACAACTGGACGGACCGTGAAGTGCACACGAGTCTCACCGAGGCAAAGACAACAACTGTGGCGATGTTAGCTAACGAAGCTAATTAGCTCCTAACTTAGCTAGGTCTGCTACATGGCCTTGTCTGCGCACTTCAATGACAGGAGCTCGGAGGGTTGACAGCGGCGGTGCGGCGCGTTTCGAGACCCCAAACTGGCGGGCTGCTCCCGGGCAGCGCGGGCTCCGTGGCCCCGGTGGATGGTGTTTACCTTTCTCACGCCTTTGTAGATATAAAAGTAGAGTTCCCGGCCCACATTGAAACAGATCCTGTCGCCGTTGCCGGACTGGTCGTTCACGTTGACGAAGGAGACCTTGACGGGGTTGGAGCCCTGCGAGTTGAAAGGCACCCGGTTCGGGCGACTGTACTCGGAGTGAGTGAGGAGTTTGTAGACGCCTTCCCGAGTGGTGAACTGAGTTTTAATTTCGTTCATCTCCTTCCCTCCTCCCTCCGCCGCCATCTTGGAAACTTGCGTTCATCCTTGTCCGAGCCCCGGATGTTAGCGAGTGCGCATGTGTGAGAGCGCAGGAGCCCAACAGCCATGCGCGAAGAGAAATAAAGAGTCAACAGACATTCACGATCATAATAAACTATAATGTGTTACATTTGGTTCTGTTTATTAATAAAATAAAATGAAACAATCTGTAATAACGATGGAATGACATGCAGAATTACCAAATCAACAAAATTAAACTGAAACGCAATACAAAATCACAATTGTGTTTAAAATACAATTCAAACTGCAACATTTACAAGCCAAGATATATTGATTCCTCATCTGCATGCCGAAGTGTCCTTGAGCAAGATACTGAACCCCAAATTGCCCCTCATAGAAAAAAAAGAGCTGCCCATAGATGCACCGTGTGAATGTATGTGTGAATAGCAAAAAAAAACTATTGCAAAATCACTTTCAGTGGTCAAGACTATAGAAAAGTGTTATATTGCGCCGTTTCAAACAAGGATACAAAGTACAAAATAAATGGCAATAAAAACAAATAATAATAATAAAAGGTAAGCAGATATTAGGGACATATTCAATTCAATTCAGTTTTAGGCACCAAATCATAACATCAACATACAACTCACCCCAAATAAAAGAAAATGCAATAAATTAATTAAAAATGGAATGAGACACTTATTATTTTAGTTGACTTTTTTTTCTTTTTTTTCT